CTTCTAAGTTAACGTAAAAAGAGAATACGACCGTTTATGTTGGTACCTACAAAGTACGGAACCCTTGGTGGGCGAGTCCAACACGCACTTGTCCGGTTTATTTTCTAAAATAAGCTCTGGTCTGGCTAAACGTGTAGCTCGATGGCGCAAGTGGTTAGCGCGTTCGGCTGCGGTCGTTGAAGTTAAAGCAACTTTCGCAGTGGTCGGTCATAGGATGGGTGACCAAAAATTTACTATCTCGAGCTCCTCCGTGCTTCGGAAGGCACGTTAAGCCGTTGGTCCCGGCTGCATCTGCAGTCGTTAGCACCCACCAATCCGCACTGGGCCCGCGTGGTGGGTCATGGCCCAATCTCCGTATTCCATCCATAGGGAAGGCCTGTGCCCCAACAGTGGGTACATTAATAGGCTGATGATGAAGCTCTGGGCACACCTCAACACACCCAATGTTGATAAGTCACTTTTAAGAGATTATGTCGTTCGCACATAGTGAGCTGTCCGGTTAGGCTGTTATTCAGACTCGATTACACACGTTGAAAATTGTATGATATAATTTATTGAGGCATTGAGGTCAGTCAAAAATGATTATCTACACATTCGCATGACATCACCTTTGAAGGCAGACAGCTCAACAAGGGAATGGTGTGCCTATTACCTATTTACATAACTTTTTAACAGATCCAATTTTTCATCAACTTAATTTTGTTGAGACTAGCCGAAGACATTCAAGTAGGGATGGGCAATTTTATTATTCAAAATGTTTTCTAGTTCGCTCCAGTAGTGCTGAAAGTGAGATTTGTCGTGATACCTCGAGGTTTAGGGCCACGAAAACGTATGAGACGCAAAATTCGAAGGGCTTTAAGAAGATGTAAAACTACATAGAAAATTTGGTTTTGAAAAAAAAAAATTTGGGTTTGAAAAAAAAAATTTTTTTTTTCCTTTTTTTTTAATAATCTATAACAGATAGATTCATTTTCAATGCCCTTTTAAGTCGAGACGCACGAGATCTGTGAATTTTTAAAATTGAAATATGTTTTTTCGTTCGCTCCAATAGGCCCCCATTTTCGCTGAAAGTGCGACTCGCCCGTGTTATCCCGAGGTTTAGGGGCACGGAGACATATGAAGGCTCAAAAGGCTTTAAGAAGATGTAAAAAATATTTTAGAAAAGTCAAAAACATTTTTGGAAATCGAAAAAACCCGACTTTTTTCGACCGAAAAATCGTGTGTTTTCACAGAAAATTTCCGATATCTCGAGAACGTAGCCAATTTTCAAAAATATGAAAGAAAAGCACCTCGGTATTGAACCAGGAATATTTTAGGTCATTGCACTTTATTCGATATTGGTGACGGTTGGGGATGTAGCCCATAGCCGCGAGTTTTGCGCTGCAGGAGGCTCGCGTGCCGCCACGAGGACTTATGATTGCTCAAAAGACGCGGAATTCTTCCACCTATATCGTCAGAACAGCTAGGGTGTGGAACTCTTTGCCGGAATCTCTGTTTCCAGTCACCTACAATCTGGGGCTCTTCAAGTCGCGAGTGAATCGATTTCTTCTAGGCAAGCGCGTACCACCTTAGGCTGCTACGTCGCTCTTCATCAGTCGCGTGGCTGTCAAGCGTAAGCCTATTTAATGTACAAAAAAAAATTCGAAGGGCTTTAAGGTGATGTAAAACTATTTAAAAAAAAGTAGGTATTAAAAAGCAAATTTTTGCTTTTGAAAAAAAAAATATGATTTTTGAAGTGAAAACTTCTCTAGCGGTGTTGTAAATTTTTTTTTGTATGGGTAAAAAATGTTAAACTCGCGTCAGGCCACGTGGTGTGATCTGACGAAAACAATAAAATTGGAAAGGTTGTTGACTTTCAATATATTGGACGAAACATAGTAATATTTTATTTTATCGTAATTTAATAATAATTCTCTGTCTAGGACGTCCAGGTGGCAGCTTCATTGCGAAGAAAATGCATTTTTTTACAATAGGTGTCGCTAGGTGCGCTTAAATGTGATTCATGTAAGTTGTTTTTTTTTACAATAAATGTCGCTAAGTGCGCTTAAACGTGATTCATGTAAGTTGAATTTTCTGAGAGCTTTTTTTTTAATTTAATATAAATTGTCATGTTTGTGTACGATAGCGCAATAAATAAATATTGTATTCTACCACATAAATGATAGTACTTTTATACTGATAATTAAAGTAATTCGTGCAAATTTATTCCCTAACTATTCCAAAATATCAAAAATGTACAAGGTTAATATTCAAGTTTTCACTTCTGCCGACACTCCCGGAGTGCAACCGTCGTTTTTTTTTAATAATCTATAATAGATAGTTGGTTCAATGTTATAATTGGTTTGGGTGGTTCAATGCCCTTTTAAGTCTAGAACACGAGATCTGTGATTTTTTCCTACGCTAATATTTACTATCTATGGTAGACCTACTTTTTGCTCAGGTCCTTTACAATTTGTAAATTAAATCAAAATATAGGTTAGGGTTAATACGCGCCTAATATTGCTGCAAATTTCAAATGGGCAGATACAAAGTGAACTTACGTCAAAGATTAAAAAAAAAAGTGATCTAAAAGATGACGAATCCCAGTGCTCGGTAAAACGTACACAGGATTTATAATAATGTGAACTTTAATAAATAAATAATAATATAGGTAGCAGCTTCGGCAGCGGGGTGGTCCTTGCCGGTTGTGTGTGTGAAAATTTGTACTTTTTGGTGAGAACCTTTGATTTTTGTTTGATGGTCGCGTGCCGGTTTTCAATCATTGGAGGGCCGAGATGGCCCTGGAACTTTAGTATTGAATCATAAGAAATAAGTACAAATTATATTTTATTGATGGATTGAAATAGATTTCTTATAGAAAGCCATTTAAGTACTGATAGCTAACTGTCGATCGATTTGTACGCTAAAATGTTGTCGATTCCGCTAAGTTAATGTAAAAATTGTGTGTCTATAGTTTGTTCAATAGCATTGCTTTTTGACACAGGTCTTGCAAAATGATGATATAGAAAACAATGAAATAATTATACAATAAATGGTCAGAGAATATATTTGTAATTTTGTTTTTTGAAATGAAATTGTACTTAACTTAAATTACCTTATTGAAAGCTCTTTTTCCTACCACCCATTCAGGACATCTTATAACTGATGTGAAGAAGAGGTTCAAAAAATTCATCAGCATTTAACAAAAGAAATAATTCAATAAAATTTCCCAAAAAAATAATGTCGCTACCAATACAACGTCCACTCACATTTTGATTGCCGTGTCAAACTAATTATTAACTATTACTAACACTAATATTATAAAGTCGAAAGTTTGCGAGTGTATAAGTGTGTATGTTTGTTAGTTCTTCACGTCTAGACGGTTGAAGCGATTTTAATAAAATTTGGTATGAAGTTAGCTGACACCCAGGATTAACACATAGACTACTTTTTACTGGGGGAAAATATCCCTTATAAACTGCGGGTAACACCGCGGGGCACAGCTAGTACAGTACAAAATACAAAAAGTGCTCATATTAGGTACAATAGATAACATCTCAAGTGTAACGCAGTATAGAGCAGACTCATCCCCGATGACGCATTTAGTAACAATGTCAAAACTCAAAACTACCGAAACATTATTGACTCACTATTATAACTTTTATTTATTTAAATGTAAGATCAATGACCCTATAATTTGCTCAATGTGCGTTCTCCAGGGGAGGGAGAGTTCTGGTGCTTTGAAATACAGGCTTTCTGCCTAGTTCAGGCACCAGTCTCTCATAATCTATTTTATTATTCTGATATAAAATTATAGTATAATAAGTTGTCATATGATTTGTAGATAGTGGAAGTACAAATAAAGATTATTATTATTTATTATCTTTAACTTTGCAGAATTGACACCCTATTGTTTACCTATTTGTGTAATGAGCACAAATTCTTCACTTACTACCAAAATAGCTTTCTTCACCTGTAACGGTAGTCCACCAGTAATGGTATCTCTAGCAATTTTACGAAGTTGCCCTTTTCCCCTGCTTTGTGTACTTTAAGTTAGCAGCTGTCGCATTTTACGGTTCCGTTTTGCTCCCAGTCCACCATAGTATAACACAATACAAGTAAGGCTAATATCCTACCTACTTCCTCGCTAAGAATGCAGCTAAGCGGAATAAATGCAATGCTATGCTGCATTGCGCCAAACATTTTGTTGAAAATACAATGGTTCTTGAAGCCAGACGTTCACCCCGATACTACGGTCAAAATATTAGGTATATTTATAAACTGTCATTGTGCACGCTATAATAACCCTTTATGCTAAAATTATAAGGTTCCTAATGAGCTTTAAAAACACCTTGACCGATCCAAGTCTGAGTATCTTTCTCGGAGTTTTTTATTATTTTATTTCTATAAAAAACATAGGAAATGTTTTTTTTTGTATAGGAAATCAATATAGGTGAGCTCAATGGAGCTGGTGGTTAGCGCATTCGGCCTTCGATCGTGGAAGTTAAGCAACTTTCGCAATGGCCTGTCATTGGATGGGTGACCAAAAACTTATTAGCTTGAGCTCCTCCGTGCCTCGGAAGGCACATTAAGCTGTTGGTCTCGGCTGCATCTGCAATGATAAACTCGCACCAATACGCACTGAATCCGCTGAGTGAGTCACATAGGGAAGGCCTGTGCCCCAGCAGTGGACATTAATAAATTGTAATGATATTAATGTTGATAAAATTAATATAGCCTAATATTAATGCCGCTTCACTACAAAATAAAGTTACAAATCGATATCCATCGCGATCCACATTCAAAATAACTCTGACAAACGTCACTTTTGGCGCCGAAACGCGAAACGTCAATCGGCCATCTTGTCCGCTGCGATTGGCCGACCGGCGGGGGTTGTTTACTCTTCGAACGGACGGAACTGTCTCTGTCCCGCTCACCTCCGTTACATAATACGGAAATGGGTGAGCAGTGTTACGTTTTGAGGAGAGTTCCGCATGCGGCTTTGGCCTCGAGGGTGGGTATTGATTTTTCGCAGAGTTTGCGGCAGTCGTCTAGCACGCCGGTGCCCAGCGCGAAAACACAGCCGCCGCGCGTCGCGTTTTTAAAAATAAAACATCTTAATCAAAATTCGAACGCATTACAATTTCGAAATTCGAAAAAGGAATCCAGAATCGCGAGGTTCAGTGCCAGATAGTGCTGGAGGGATAATATTGTAAGTGATTTTCGAGTTACCTAATTTTTTTTACGTCTGTGACACCATTTTCGTCTGTTTTATGTCCTCGACGACAGGTTTTATTGCAAGTTTGCGGATTTATACTAGCGCTCGAATTGGGAATTGGAGTGTTCGACCGGCTTTTGCATTAAAATCGATTAGCTAATTGGCATCAGCTGACAGGAACGCCCGATGTAATGTCAAAATTGACTCGGCTTTTGGAACCGATAATACTCGTACGTACATAGTCCTGAAGCGATCTTTGATATTACCATAAATTTTACGGTAAGCCCTTACCAATTTCTCCATCGTAGAGTTTTGTCGGAACACCCGTGTCCTGTGCACTGTATGGTGTACATTCATTTTGCCACAAAAATTCTAAAAAATACTTCAAAATATAAAAAAGTTAATAATAAAAATAGTCCTTATCACACGTTCAAATCACTCCGGCGTGTGCCAGTTACTGATTTGCAGGATCGCTGTGATGCATATACATCGCCCACTCTATGAAGATATTAAACACATCAATCTATAAGACGAGAGGCAATGTATGGTTGCCTAGTGGGTGTCCAAGACTGAGAGGAGATCTGTTCAGAAGGTGACGTCACGGATCGTTACTGGAGACATGTTATTGACGGTGTGACGTCATCGTCCTCGGATTCCGAACAGCAATTATATGGGGATTAAATCAGGACGAGAGCCATAATGTCGACCACTTCATCCGTCTAATTGAATCTCCTAAGCGTGATGTGATTATGTAGTACCATTTAACATCAAGCTAAATTATCTCTTTTTATATAGCTTGCACTAAGAAAGCTATCAAAATCCTGAATCAGTAGAGCTTGCCAAAATTATATTTTACTACAGACATTGTCTAAGTTTCAGCAAAACTATCATCTAATAAACAGATTTAAATTACTCCTGCAGTGATAGCGAAGTCGAAAGAGTTTTCATTTGAATTGGTATCAAGATTGGTGAGGGCTGATTATGGAATCTTCAGATTATGCTCACCTATATTCACATGATTGCAACAATTTTGGAAATGAAATGAAAACAACAACACTATTTCTTGGTTGTCTGACCAACCACTATTTCTTAGAAAAGATTAGATAAAGGTTGGTCAATAGAAGCGCCCGTCTGGGGATGTAACTTTACAGACCCACATTAAAAGAACACTTTTTGATGGCGTTGTGCTTCTGAAGTTTGCGGAAGATGCGGATTCGAGTCCCATCTGATGCATGGACCGCGTGGAGTTTTTGTAGTGGATTTTCTTTCGATGCATAAAAATAAGGTTTTTGTAGCAAAAAAGTGAGGCAGATTTTCTTGAAGTCGTAATGAACGAGGCGATTAAGTGTTTTTTTGCAAAAAAACACTGAGTGTGTCCTGTTCATGAAAACATAAAAGTTATCAAGTTCCACTATGAGGACACGTACAAAATCTTGCCGTATCCAGGTGACGAAATAATCAAAGTTTCCAGTCTCTTGTATCTAGTTGGTAAATAACCCGAGGTAGCATACAAGATTATTTGATAAAAACCAGCTAAACTCAATTCATTTCAGCACATCTTTGAGTTGTGAAGAAGATTCCGAGACGTATTAAGTGGTGTCTACTCAAATTGTAGCTTCTTGAACCTTTACCTTACAGAAGCCAAATAACTATTTTCTCCAGTGTTGTGCTGTTGTGCTACTGAAGACAATAAGGGGGCGTCCATAAATTACGTGAGGTGTTTTTTTGAATTTTCTGTCCCTCCCCCCCCCCCTGGTGAGATGTCGTGAGATTTTATTCAACCCCCTCCCCCATCCCCCAATCTCACGTGAGATTTTTCAAAATGTGGGTTTTTGTAAAAAGAAAAAAAAATGCTTCGTGCTTTTATTTACGACTACTTTCCTTTCGAACCAATAAGTGAATGATTTAATCGTATTACGATAACGCTTACGATTAAATATTAAGCGTGTACAATCTAGATTAAATGGACCAAAATAGTATAATTCTATTTTGTTCCATTAAAAAAAATTGCGTGATATTTGCCGAGACCCCCCCTCTCTCCAACGTAAGATTAGATGAGATTTGACTCGACCCCCTCCCCCCCCTTAAACATCTCACGTAATTTATGGACGCCCCCTAAGGTTTCCAAAGTTCCACGGGGTAGGGGATAGGCCAGGGTAGGCTAGTGTCTATAGGATACCGTCTTCTTCAACAACCAGCCGCTTGCCACCCAACGGCAAGTACCATATCTTTGATTAACACCTTTCTTGTGTGCGAAAGAAATCCCACAAGATTCAACTAACCTCTTTAAATTGACCGATTGCAATTCGGTTTCGCACATGAAAGGTTTCATAAATACCTACAAGAGACGTTTAACTTCCAATTCTTTATTAAAGACCTATTTGAATAAAGTTATTTTCATTTCAGTTTTACTAGAAAGAGTACGTGAACTTTCATGGTCAGTAACATTATAGTAATATAAGTTATTTACGGGATTAAATAAAACTAGTTTTTCACGGGTTAATGCACGAAACTTTATTTGTTTCTTAGGTTTTCACGCACATCACTCATTAAATAAAACTAGTTTTTACAGGTTAAAACTAGTTTTACAGGACAGGTAGAACATGCATTAGGGGGACCAAACCACTACATTAGATTTGATAGACCACAGATCCTTGCAGCTGAGCGGCGGTTCGTTCCTCGAATGATGCGCGAGGCTATTGAGATTAAAAAATATCCAAATTTCAATAGGGAAGATGGTTGGTATATACCACCAGCTTGGGAACCTATTATACAGGAGATAAAATCCCAACCCCGAGCACACACTGCAAGACCATCAGATACTATTAGTTCTTTTTGTTTGCATAATTTAACATAAGAAGGAGATAGAAAGCCTCTCTTGAGTTTGTTTCGCCGGTTCTTCTCAGGAAGGTCTCCCAATTTTGGAACCGGTGGTAGTTTACGGTAGTTAGGGTCAAATAAATAAACTCAAAATTACAAACAAGAATTTTAAATAAAATACTTTATTAAGTAAATTAAATAATAAATTCATACATAGACAATAAAATTTTAAAAATCTTCCAATGAAATAACCGAACGCACAATATAATTCTTTCGAAGGTAGCTCGACAATTTTAAATAAAATCATTATTCTGACGATGCAGACCTGAAAAGGCTGCGAAACGTCAATAAATAAATAAAGTTTCGTGCATTAACCCGTAAAAACTAGTTTTATTTATGCACGAAACTTTATTTATTTATTGACGTTTCGCAGCCTATACAGGCTGCTTCGTCGGAATCAATTTTTTGCGAAACGTCAATAAATAAAGTTTCGTGCATTAACCCGTGAAAAACTATTTTTATTTAATGAGTGATGTGCGTGAAAACCTAAGAAACAAATATATTTACGGGATTGTTATCATGTACCTTGTTTTTAGCGAGTTTCCGATATTTCGGCACTTTTGCAAGCGCCATGATCACGGAGCAATCATAAACAGTACGTACTACTAACAGAGCTACGTAGACATAAATCTAATTTATGGCGTGAAATTGCAATTCCCTTTGGGTAAAATCGCAAATGTCCAACCTTGCTGGGAATGTTCCTGGTGTTCCTCGCCGCTTCTAAATCGTTCGCCTTCCCGTGGATATTGGAAACTCATTATATTTCCATCAATTCATGGTATAACTTCTAAATTCAATTAAGTTTTTTTTTACAAGAGGCGTGGCGTACTGAGGTTGGCTAATGTTACTACCCCACCTCATGATCCAGCCGCTAAGTTATGTGATGTGTGATATAAAAATACGCCTTCAGCTACTTTTGCCCTGCCAGTCTGAACCTTAGCCCTAGAAAATCTGACTCACCAACACCCTGACGGAAACAAAAATGGATACAAAAATAAATAGGTATATCAATTATTGATATTTCACTGAGTCAAATAAAACTAGTTTTTCACGGGTTAATGCACGAAACTTTATTTATTTATTGAAGTTTCGCAGCCTTTACAGGCTGCGTCGTCGGAATCAATTTTTTATTTAATTTTGTCGAGCTACCTTCGAAAGACTTTTATTGAGCGTTCGGTTATTTCAAAAATAACATAACAAAGATGCGTTCGGTTATTTCAAAAATGTGAAAAACTAGTTTTATTTAATGAGTGATGTGCGTAAAAACCTAAGAAACAAATATTCCACTGAGTCCTATTTTTATGTTAGAAGTATGGCAAATAAATATATGACAGTCCTGAAAAAAAAAACGGCTGCCATTACCTATAGGCCCTTGCGATATCAGAGTAATATATTCCGCTTGCTACCAACCCTTTATTTTACATCTTTGGAAAAGATGTTACGCCTCCCTGAACCACCGGGAGAAGCTCGAACAGAGTATCTGAAGACTCCTCCGCTCTCATTTCGCTCACTCCAAAAGCTCGGTGAAATGAGCAGGCCAGAAAAAACCAGAAAATGCTCTTGCTCCTGCACTTTTCACCTGACATATATCCCGAGCACCGAGGTCCCGAACGTATCGCGTGGTAACCCTCGAAGGAATGGCCACACACCCGCTTTATGAGGCGAAGCGAGGGAAACCCCAGGCAATATTAAGGGGGAGAAAGGTGGAGAAAAGGGTATCCTTCATGAATTCGGACCACCCCGGTAGCAGCAGAATGATAGGTTTCGAATGTCTGGAAAACGAGGAGGAGGATAGCAAACTGGCAGAAGGTCTTGTGAAGATCTATACAGATGGCAGCAAACTGGAGGGAAAGGTAGGAGCCGCCCTGACCTGTTGGAAAGGGCAGGCAGAAGTCCTTTCCCGAAAGTTTAAGCTGGAGCCATACTGTACAGTCTTCCAAGCCGAGCTGTATGCTATCCTCCAAGCCACGGAGTGTGTATTAGGGAAAGGATGGAAGGAGGCGGCCGTGCTCAGCGATTCGAGGTCCTCCCTCCAATCGCTAGCTGATCCAGACTCCTCGCATCCGATCACCAAGGCGATTCAGGGCAACCTGGCCCAACTCAGGGACAACGGACAAGCCGTGTCCCTGTTTTGGATCAGGGCCCACGTCGGGGTGATCGGAAACGAGAGAGCGGATCAGCTGGCGAAGGGGGCGGCCCTCGGGTTGAAATGCAAATCGCACTATGACTGCTGTCCCATCTCTTTCGTCAAGCGCCATGTACGCACGATGACGAAAGTAGAATGGGACAGCAGGTATAGGAGCGAGGACACGGCTGCCACAACGAAGGCGTTCTTCCCTAGCGGGGAGAGCGCCTTCGGTGTCGTAAGAAAGATGAAGATTGATAGAATAGCTGCACAGATCCTTACCGGGCATGGAGGTTTCTCCGCCTACCTCCATAGGTTTAAAAAGAAGGATACCCCAAGTTGCGTTTGTGATCCCGACACTGAAGAGGACATTTTCCATGTCCTCCTTGAATGCCCCCTCTATGCCAAAGACAGACACGACGCACAAGTAGCATTGAACACACCCCTTAGAAAGGAAAACCTGTGGGAAATTATGGCAGAAAGTAAAGATAGGGAAGCGTTCATTTAG